AGCCCAGAACTCAGTCTAGAACTGACGGTCTCCAACTGAGGTATCACAACAATGTGTGGATAAAAGAAATGGCAAAACCATTTTACACGCACTCGCGAGCGATGACAATATCGTTCGGTGCAGTGAAGCCGGTTGGGGTTGGTGCTAAAAATACAGCAAGCGATGGCTGAGGATTATGTCATATCTGAGGATTATGTAGCAAGCGCAGCTGGTGCAAATGGCGTAAACGTACGTAACGGATTGAAACGCAATGGTATAGGAAGGGGGTAGATACCGTACGTTTTACTTGTCCATATTGGGGATGAGTGGGCATAACGCCAAGGAAATATTTTCAATCGCTGACATAGTGAATGTTTGGTAGGCTATTAATTTGAGTGCCTGGATTGAGACAGGTCCCAACTAAGGTACAGCATACATCGGGGGGGCTTGCTTTATTTGAAATTTAGAACTTTCTATTCTTGGTTAATATATTGATGCTAATAATGTTTGTCCCGTCCGCTGATTAAGATTTGGCGAGTTGTCAAAAAAAAAGGTCTTTTTTGTACGGGCTTTATCAGATAATTGTGAGTTTCAAGTGAGAAAATGCACATTTAGTTGACATTACCAAATCAATTTGTTTTTACATAAATACATATGAAAGTCACGTTGTTGGTTTTTCGTTAAGCTCATATTTGGTTCTGAGATATGTGTGAATGATGTAGGTCTAACAATAATGGTAATGTTCTGTCTTTGACTTGGCAATAATGGTAATGTTCTTAGTATTCACAATTATATACGACGGGGTTTAACGCCAATGTCAATATATCAATATCGAACGACAAGATTCTCCGTGCGTACAAATGCTTTTGGACAAGAGTGCCTGATCATGAGACGAGCATATGCCGTTAGTAGGAGGGCAGTAAGCTTAATATGACTCTGGGATTTGCATACGATTGTACTAGTGTTGACTGGTGCGAACGACCAAATCGGTTCTCGGATTTTTCCTTGATATGCTCTAGCACACGTAATTAACAACTATTCCCTCTTCCATAAACTAATTGGCTGGATCAACACAACATTTGAACAAGTTGCGGTAAGAAAAAAGGATACTGATATATTGGTGTATGACAAGTCGTAGATGGGACGATAACGGCCGAACTAGCATTTAGTAGCAAGTTTCTCTGGCAAGCTAACCAATCTCAATGCCAGGTCGAAATTGGAAATTGAGCAAGAATAATAAAAGACTAATATTATCCAAATGCACGACATTGGAAGATTTCCAATATTGGTAGTTCATACGACCATATTAATGTATTAATATGAAAACTGGCTGCTTGATATTGGTACTAGCACTGCCCCCATCGTTACGAGTTGATGTCGACATTCACGCATATCAATGCATGAATGAACAGAGAATGTCTGCGCGGGTAGCAGTATTTCGGGCATTTCTGTAGTTTCATGTTTCATCATTTTAAGACAAGGTTTACCGTACCATTCGCAGGCGACATGCTTCGTCATATCAGAATGGGCTTTGAAATTTGGGGACAGAAAGCAAGTTTGAAAGTAGTGCCCGAAACAAGTCGCAATAACCGGTTACTGCAAAACATGCATAAAAGGCTTTCAATGAGCAAATAAACATGTGAAAAGAACCGATTGTGCATAAATAGTAATAAATGTACATCCAAGTTCTAAAAAGATGAATAAAGAGTGGTAGTAGGTAACATTTACCTAACAAGTAAGCAAACAAATCATAATCAGAGAAAAAGAGGGGCGATTGGACTAAGCCGAACAGACAACGGATAATTAGCATGCCGACCAATTATTCCGTTTGAAAGCTGCCAAGAAACTTGTCGTTACTTAAATGTTTAGCGCTAATGTCAAGAAACAGCATTTTATCATGCGCAACGCAAAGAATAATATTATTGTTAATTTACTAATCGATCCATCCGGCACACAAATATTCGGATCAACTACGTTTACAATGCGCCATATATCGAGTGTTAATGTGCGGAAAGCATGAAAATCGAGCTAATAGTAGATAATATATTAACGGAAGAATCATTCGATGGCTATGCTGCAGCTAGACAAAAAGGGTGCTTGAAAATTATTCGTGCATGCATTTTAGATTTGTTGCAGTATTATACCAGACGAATTAGGTTCAGAACACAAGTTCAGGGCCCAGTCTAGGTACGTTACAAACTGCATTGACCACATATTACCTTTCTCCCCCCTTTTTTCTCTTTCGCCCTCGCTACGTGGGAATCTTTTTGTAAGGATGCGCTAAGTGTTATAAAAAAGAAATTAAACTGCATTGTCGATCGAAGAAGAGTCATTTGGCGGCGAAATGTGTTCTTTATTACGGAAAAGGTGTGGGACAAGCTGATGAGAAGCATAATCCCACAAATACGAATCTTTGCTAGTCTCATATGACGTACATGTTTAATCGACCTGAAATGGTTTGGCGATAGGGAAACAAACTTGTTTCAAAGTTGCATCCAAACGGTGTCTGCGCGGAACTCTGTAGTTGAACATTGACTTACTACACACGCATGTAAAACGGGCTTATACGTTGCAAAAAGTGTTTCTTTATCGCCCGAGTTCGTATTAGGATCCACAATTGTTACAAGAACCGTGAGCATCGCACAGTTTATTCACGTTTCCCGATATTCGATTTCTTTCTTCTCATCATACGATTGATTCCCTTCTCTTCTTGATAAAACGTCGTATGTTGCAACGCATGCATTACAACCTTTTTATTTGGATTTTTATGAACGATAATTGGCCTGTACTTTACTTCATTTGGATTAATGTAGCTGTGAAAATAATAATGCGAAATGTATGCTCTCCTATGTTAAATAATTGTCTTGCATTTTGTTCTAATTATTAAAGTCGTGGGGACATTTAAATTAAAACAATTCGTTGTTAGTGTGGGAATGTGTCTTCATATGACCGAATGTACGAGTGAAACGGATATACGGTTTTTGACCCTAGAAAGAGAAGGGAGGTGGGTAAGTTTATTGGACAATAGGGATAAGGCAACGTTATAGTCTCGGATAAAGAACGCAGATTTTGAAAAGCCTTTTACGTACAGTATGTAACGTGTATACTAACTAACATACACATCTACACATCTACACATTAACATCTACACATTAACATCTACATACACATCTACACATTAACATCTACATACACATACACATCTACACATACATCTTACACATCTACATACACATCTACATATATACGCATGACTGGTTTTTGTGCATTGTCTTGGAGATTAACTGGAACTCTAAAAGCATAATAGCAAATTACTGCTATTATTAGTATCGATTCTTAGTTCGGGTCACAAATATTTGCTGAGAATGTTCTTTATTGGGTATTTTTACTCCCCAATGACATCATCGAGGTTAGAGTCAAAACAATCAACTTCTTGTATTAAATCTGCATTCTTTAATTTAGCAAAGAGATTTGTAATTGGCAAAGGAGCATCACCTGTGTTTAGATTTTCCATCGATAAAGTTGAATAGCAGTGAATATCAGGAATAGTCTGGGATAGACAGAGAACGATTTGTGCATATATTGACACCTATCTAAGTTTTTCATATTACCAACTATGGAAAGGAACCCATGGATATGCTCCCCCATATTTCTCAGGGGCTTACACAGTCTTACAGTCTTTTTTTTTTTTTTTCCTCCCTCTTTCAAAAAAAAGAAAAGCAAGGTTGATATTCGCCTCGCACACATTATGTCATGTACCGAATTAACTAGGATTGAATTAGGGGCAACGGAAAAAAAGTCACGGAGGCAAGAGGATGATTATCGTTTAACTCGGTTAAGCTTTTAATCTCTTTTGATCATTCGGAACGACGTTCGTGATTATCAATCGCCATCAAAACTTGGTCGCTGCAAATACATATTACATCTCATATCAGATCTTTAAAATATGCGAGTTTGCGTTTTTTCGGCTTGCTTCGTAATTCCGCCATCGTCACCTCATGCAGGGTGTTTGTACTGTACTGTGTGGTTGGTGCAAAGCAAACGAAAATGCCCAAAATTGGGAATAAATTACTGTCGGCTGAAATTGCGACTCTTCTTCTCCCTGTTGCATATACACATACAGGCTATTGTTGAGAATGGCTGAAAGTAATGCCTTGTTTGGGAAATGTGGGGTAAATGTTGAATAACAAGCTTCAAAACCGGCGTTGACAGATGCGATATAGACGGCCAATGACTGGATGACTCATTTGCGGTCAATATTTTGATGAGATGATGACGGGATGCCCAATAGGATGAATGGAACAAACGGGATCGGGCCACTACGGGCAGGTACTGTATCAATATAAATGTTATTGTTTACATTTACTACATAATTTATACATTCCCACATGATATACATATTTATATCATTGTCCACGAGGCAGTTAGGCATATCCATATAATAATCATTCATATACAACCTATCGTTACCTACTAATCGTCTGTTGATATCACTTTTGTCCAACTCTTTCCTGGCTTTGCTCACTGCTGTGCCCTGCGGGCTTCAGAAAAAGGCAGCCGAGAGATGCAATGTTCGCCCGCCCCGGCCATTAAGGATGCTGCATAAATAAATGTACATACTATACAACACAATATAAATACAACACAATATAAATACAATACTATACAATAATACAATCGAATACACTGTTTATTATTCCCATATATTCGCTGATTTAGGCCCCAGCATTACGTCGGCCATTACAATTTTTGCCCCCTTTGTTTCATTGCAGTGATGTAACAGATGTAACATAAAAGCTGATGCATCCCACTTACCAAATACGAGTTAAATACCGTAGTCTGCGAAAAATCACTATATTTACCCCCCCTTTCCATGGTTAGTCGAAAATTTTACGTATTGTATATATAAAGACCTTGTCCCTTTCGCAACCGTCCTTTAAACAAACGACGCTGAGTGTAACAAAAAGACTTGAGCACTTGTAAAAAGCATTTAATTTAAAAACAAAAAACACTCAACAACAATGGATTTAGATTGGTGTTTGACCTGCTCACGACACACTTCGGTAAGTATAACAATGCTAAACAAGCAAGCCCTTTGCTATAATAGCTTGCTCTCGCTCGTTAATCTCGTCACATGTATACTCACCAACCTTTATGTTATAGGGTGGACTATACTGCTCAGACTCGTGTCGGTTGAAGGATATCGATGCATCAACACCTATAATATCGTATCAACCATACTCTGCTTCTCCTCGATTGACACTATCTGCCTCTACAACAACGACTGCGACAGCAGATACAACTGCTTATGGAACTCCGTCTACACTCGCCGCCACCATCACCGCTGAACCCTACACCAAATATAATATATCCATGCCGACACTGACACTCCCAAAGTCTGCACAACCCCCATCCAAGTCACTGTCGTATTGCTATTTACCAAGGCATAATTGCACACACAATTCTGATTGCAGAGAGTTTCAATACACCGTACAAAGAATGCCGGTAGTAATATGAACGGCAAAGAGCACGGCAAAGAGCACGGCAAAGAGCGAGGAGCGTGAATCGAACAATACGAATACAAATACGGTTTTTTGGGGGTAGTAAAACTCTCCTTATGGACTTTTTTGTTTTTTTCTTCACCAAAGTCGGACAATCAAAAGAAGATATGAACTCAAGTTGCAGAATGCGTACATGTGTGGTGGTGGTGGTGTGTACGCAGCTATGGACATACCAACTTTAATCTTGGTCATTACAAAATGCAAGATATCAACTTTAAAAAAAAAATCAACAGACTTTCTTCAATCATTTCTATAAACTCTTTTGTACAGACTCAATCTTCTTTTTCCTAGTCTTTCTTATTTTTTAGCATAGCACAACAAAAGGAGAGACTGTAAAAAATTCATTACTAAAACTAAAAATTACTTTAGAATAAAGCGCTACATACATAAAAGGAGTATTTTTAATAATTGTCTTTAAGCTTTTATTGTTGTAATGTGCGAGTTTAATATAAATATTATCTATATACGTACATGTGTACGCTATTATCTTTCAATTGTTCAGTACCCCGCCGACTGCTCAACTGTAGCCAATATGGACCCTATTTAGAATTCAAGCCTTGTTCTTGACAATACTTTTATTTTGTCAAAGAATTTCTTTTGTTGTCTTGCACCAACCGTACACCAACCATACATCGTCGAACACGTTTATCATTCTTATCGTAACTCTACAATGTGATACGAAGTTACATCATATGTAATTATTAAAGTTCGTCCCTTAAATATATACGCCATCCACTTATGCTTATTTGCAACCACGGATTCTTAATGGTTGCTGCTAAAAATATATGAACTGGTCGTGATTTCATATATCAATGTAATTATAATGTCCATTCAACCTTGTATTAGTTAAATGTAAATGTAAAGTACAACGTCTCACTGATCAAACTCGGAATTAGAATTCATCCTTCAATACAGTGCCAACGCCAACAATCAAATAGCGCTTTCAACCGATTATTATTATTATTATCCTTGTTAAATTTGGGGTATCTTCCGTTAAACGAAAAGGCCCCCAATCTTTGTTCGCCGATTTTGCTTTACGGCTGTGTACCACGCTGTCAATAGTAATAGCGGATTATTCCACAATAAGAACGTTCATTCATCTATGGCAATACTTTTAATTCACGAATTTAGAATATATAAAGCAAGACACCCGATTTCGCCATCGTCTTTGGCGTACCGCAATCGTTACACATTTATTGCACCATCTGTTTTAAAAAGGTGCAAATTGCCCTGCCCTTTTCTGTATTGCCTTCTTGACAGTGAGAGATGGAATTTCTGTTAACTAAAATTGTTCAAATTGAAAGCTTTTTAGCATAAACACCGAACACGCATTGTAAAAAAAAGGAAACTGTATCTTCCCACAATAAGTGATTGCTGATTAGGAAAGACAAACCAGCCTGTGTAACCTTATATCTGTTGCAAAGCGAACTCAATAAGGACGCCAGTCGAAAACTCTGAATCTCGTTCCCACGTATACAAAATGTGATTGTCAAGCGTCAGTTAATTGATTGGGTTTTCTTATGTAATGAAGTATTGGCTTCCCGATTGTAAAGCTTGTATAAATATTACGAATTGAATATCAAGTTTACACAACCCAGTATCGTCTTAATTATGTTGTATAACGAACATGGTAGTATTGTATAACGAACCTGTTGTATAACGAAACATGCGTATAAGAATCGTCGTATAGCGAATCACTTGTTAATTTTCCAGTAACCGAGGTTGCTCAACCTCAACGGACTTTTTAATAGCCTCAACAAGGAAGAAGTCTATATGCATGATTACTACTTCTTTATTGCCAATCCTTATGTCCAATGTTCTCTGCGTGGTTTCTCACAAATAGGAACAGGTTAAACAATTACCCATTCGTTATCTCGTCTGCAGTCTTTGATATGTAACAAATCGAAACATAGAGTTTCTCGCTTTTTGTCACTATCGGTTATTTGTCTGTTCAGGTTCTTGCTTTCTAATAATAATAATGATTTTTGTTCAAGCGAATTGGTAAGACGTACAAGCATTCTTGTAAGGAAATTCCATACTATCCGGTTACAGGGAAACGGATTTTTCGAATACATTGGTACTATAGTCTGATTCATGACACTATTACCGCATGCTTGTCTGTGAATCTAAATGCTTGGGTTATGTCTATACTACTACTACTACTACTACTACTACTACGTATAAGTGTTCGCTCGCTCGCTCATAACACCATGCATTAACCGTCACTGAAAACTTGTACGACAATTATTGTTCACCGTCATGCGTCATATTTTTTGAAACACACTTTGTCTACGTCTTCTTATTAATTCGTTTTAACTGAATACAAAATTGGATGGTATTCGAATAATTGCAAATTTTACTCAAAAAACCATCGCACGTACAAAGAAATTAGCGAATCAAGAATGGGCCTCACGAGATGGTCCAGAACCAAGACAACTTACACAAATAATTATAATTCTCGATTTCAATCTAAAAAAATCAGAGTTCACGCCCATTGGCAGACTTCTTAATCATACATATGTTATATTTAAAATTTTCTGACAAGTCGGATTTCTTGACAAGTCGGACAGCCATCCCCCAGCCAGTCGTGTCCGACTTATCGAGTTTACCAATGCATTTTTATTTTTCAAAAAGTCGAAAGAGAGCAGATATGACCAAATTTGCATGGGGAGTCTCCCGCGCATGCGAGTTTCCCCGCATACGCATTTGCATAACGTGTGCCCTGCGGTAATCGACTGCCCTGGGTACGTTTCACAGAAAGAATGGGTTTGTAGCGAGATAACGATTCCAAGCGCACAATGGAGACAAAAATGTAATTACTGGTAGCTAAACAGTCTTACAATTATGCTTTTTCCGAATGTCTTGTGGCAAATTATAAAAACACGCAGTTACACTGCGGACACGTTGTAGACCTATTTTGGAAAAGCCATAGTAAAAGTGACGGCATGTATAATGCAAAGTCGATAAATAATTTAAATAAATGCCCTTTTTCGCTTGTGCGATCATAAATAAATTTGTGACATAAACTGTACAACATAAACAAACCGCTGTTGTTCATGCGCTGAACCTGATTGTTTACGTATCATAATATTTGTTACCCGTGAAAGGGGTCACTAAGCGCTGGCATCTCGAGCATCACGAAATCTATTGCATTTGCAGGCGTCCAGAAGAATAGCCCCAGGCAAAGATGGCCAATGGGCTCTAAATCTTGATATTTTCCCAACGGCCATTCATGCATGTACTGCGAAAACTGTTTGGTTAAGAGATTTTTCGTAAATTTGTATAATTGCTTTGCAACGGTTATGTTACTCCTCTAATTGTATTTTGATTGGCCTCTTTTCATTCCATGTATTTGTGGTAACTCTGGCTGGACAAATTAAAGGATAAAGACATTGTTTGCTGGCAGTGGATAAAAAAGCAAGATTATCTAACATTTAGTGTTGCATTATGGATGGCAAAGAGATATGCACAATCTTTGAAACGAAGCAATCGATATTTGTTCAATGCGGTTACAATAAATTAAGGCTTCGATAATTACGTATTAACGATGATATTGGTAAAGCAATAACTAAAGATTTTGACACATAATTTCTTATCGCATATAAATGTTTGGTCGTTGTTGCTACACTTTCTGACAATCACAGATGCCGGGTATCTGACGCTTCGAACGCCTTATATACCAGTTATTATTATTATCGAGAACACATGACTTAAATCGCCAAATCAACTTCACTGGGCCAAATTATCAGTAAAGTTCATTATATAATTTATGTTTTTCCTTTTAGAAAGCTGTCACCAAAAATTAAAAGTTGTTAGTGCAAACAATATCGTTCAAGTGATAAATTTAATTTTCGGTTTTACCAAATATCAGATTGTATACGTTTAACCCCGTAAGATTGATAACATACTGGAAAAATGGTATCTCTTAAGGATACACCCCTAATAAAACGCGTTATAATCCTTCCAGACTTCTCACCCCTTATAATCTATCAATCTTTGTGAGAACATTCTTTACTTAAAGACCGGTTAGCATAAATAAATAATATTGTTGCCTTCTAGAATAAACTGGTTGCTGCGCTTTATTATTATGTATAATTTAGTACATAACAATCTAATGATATATACGCCACGTATGTGTGTGTAATACTTGGCGTATATCTTAGAATGCTGTTTTATCGGCGGATAGTAATAGTTTTGTACAGTAAGTAAAATTACCATATGACGTATTTGTGGAATACAATGCCCGTTAACTCAACTTTCATCTTGCCAGTTTTTGCGGCGGTTATGAAAGTTTTTCCTTCATTCACTGTAGAGTCGCTTGCTACGTATCACCATAATTCTTAGATTAAAACCAACTGGCATTAATGAGGTAATTGGCTATGCCCGTCACGGAAAGTAGAGATTTAATTATTAATGGCCCGTTTAATATTTCAAAAGATGCCCAGCTGTACGCCGACACTATACTGTACATTAAAACTCTTATCGTGTTTCTTTGATACGTTTGTAACAATACTGCTCGGTGACACAGGCCCTTCATCAACCAAAAGCTCGTTTACTAATTATAATAATTACAGGGAAAATATAAATAGTATTATCAAATATATACTTTCACGGTGATGTGCGTAGATTTCCCCTAGTACTAGGGGCGGGCTTATCTTTAAACTTTGTAGCAAACAATTTTGATAGGAAGAAGACGGAATCTGTGATGGGCTGTGCACAAAGATTATCAGTGAGTTCATCAAAGCAACTCGAAAGTGGGGGTAATGCCGAATCATTCATATATTGCCTTTGCAGGAGGATTATTTGGTTTACTAATACTGGTATTAATATTAACGTTCGTGTTTCATGAATCATGTTTAGTTTCGAATTAGTACTAGTGTTGGCGTCTCTTAAATAAAAAATCTCATATCTAGGACGACTTTACGTGATTTGGTCAAACCATTGGGGATACGGTCACTTGGCAAGCAATAGACCTTTCATTTATTGTTATCAGTATATCAGTAATGTCCCCTAATTTGATTAATAAATATAGACACTGTCATTACACTAGTGACATCTCATTCATTTAGACTTACTTGCCCCGTCTTGTTGCTCACATAAAACCCGGAGCATAGTCTCCCCGCGACCTACGAACTATATCAAATAACAACTATAACTAGACATATTCATATAGCGATAGCCCGATGTATGTCCCGCAGAAAGAACAATAGGGGGGCGGGTTTTGTTAATAATGAGTGAGGAAGTGTTTGCGTTGGCCAGACGATGGAAGCTTTCGTCGGCCACCATGGCAGGGAAAAGAAATCTGTTTGTTTGTTTGTTTGTTTGTTTAACAAAAAGTGTGTCGGTAAAGCCCTGTTTAACCGAAGCGTTTCGTTTCGCCAACTTTTGTTAAAGCGGACTGTTCGTCAAGCCAGAGCATTTGTGAAAACAAAGTTTTGCCTTTATGCATGAACGGTTCGTTTGTGTTTGGAAACAAACTTTGTTGTAAAAGCTAAGCCGGGCTTGTTAATATATCAAGTGATTGTGTCCCGTGGACATGCCTCCATATTGTTGATATTGTTATACGTACTTGTCATGCGATTTTCCAAAAAGTTACTTGCGATAGTCATGGGGTTTTCCTTTTCCCGTATTTAGTATGAATCGATTTGCTGCTAACTGTTCATATACTGTAATCTGTGTTTCACTTTGACCAAATTAAAAAATTTTAAAGTCGATAATGACTTATGACTCATTAGTACTAATACTGTAAATAAGGGGAGAGAGATACCTTTCTTTTCCCTCAGTACTTAATCTTAATCCATAATTTCCTTTTGCCCTTCCATTGAAAACACAAGTCGCGAACAAATTGTATTCAAATGCAGCTGACAACATCTCTATCCACTAATGACACTCAACGCGTCGCTGAACATACTCCTCTTTTAAGAGAGATCGAACGCAACGACACACACAGAGACCCCGCCGGCGGGACGTCAGCTGCTTGTGGTTCCAATTTTGCGGCTTATCTTGATATTGTGTAAGTTATTGAACATACTCGATTCTCTCTTCTTTTTTGTGAAAAAGCGGTGAGATTAAAATAATAAACGATCCAACCGAAATTTAGGTGCATCGTTGCTGGAACTGGTATTTTGGGCTTACCTTACGCGCTGAAACAGAGTGGATGGATCGGTATGGGGCTCATCGTACTTGCAATGATTGCTACCACCTACACCAGTATCTTGTTAATCAAGTGTCTTCACTACGACGGGTGAGCATATATATAAATAACAATTACGTTGACCCCCCCCTCTTATCAAATACTCATACAACTCCCCTATTTCAGCCACACTCGCTTAACATCCTACGCTGAAATAGGCTATCATGCTTATGGCAACGTCGGCAAGTACGTCGCTGGCATCTTCAACGATATCATTCTCCTTGGTGTTCCCGTTTTATTCTTGATATTTGCGGCACAGAATCTTAACGATCTTGCCGTTCATAATTTCGGGATAGAATTGGGAACTACGACATTGACCGTGATCTGTGGGGTATTTGTCGCTGTTCCGTTTATTATGATGAAGACTATAAAGGAGATTACGATCTTGAGGTTTGTTGCCAGCAAGAATGACTTGACCGATAGTTCCAAGGGATATCAAAATTGCAAACCCCTCGGTGTGGATGGCTTAACTATAAACGAGCCTCTGACGTATCAACTCTCTATTATACTCCCATCTTCTCTAGCTTCTTCGGCTCCTTTTCAACCCTGTTCTGTATTCTAGTCGTAATTGCTCTCTCTATTCTCGACACTCCAGACAACCGTTCTGATCTACCTCCGCCTAAACACAAAATAATATCCTTCTCTGAATTCCCTGTCGCGTTCGCCACGATTTCATTCTCATTTGGAGGCAATAGCGTATTTCCTCACATCGAAGAAGCTATGCAAAAGCCAAATGATTGGGGGAAAGTAGTGACTAGTGCGCTGTCGACGTGTGCAATCATAAACTTGATAACGGCCGGGGTTGCTTATGGTGTTTATGGCGATAACGTGGCTAGCCCTGTGCTCTCTAGTGTGCCGAATGGTAAGGTGTTAGGATGCATTTGCGTGATCCGTTGTTGGGATGATATTTACCTAATAATCTTGCTTGCGTCATACAGGCCTCGCATTAACCATAGCAACGTTAATGATAACGCTCCACGTTCTTTTTACGACTCCCATTCTCATGACTGCCTTTGCTCACGATGCCGAGAAAACGCTCAAAGTGACGCGAGATCATCTCACACCCAGGACCGAATTTTTGTTTCGTTTCCTCTTCCGCGCTTTTCTTGTCGTTACTTCCGTCTTCGTGGCCGTGATTGTCCCATTCTTTGGTGACTTTATGGCCCTCCTTGGAGCACTCGCGAATTGTCTTTTAGTATTCGTGCTGCCCGTATTGTTTTATCTGAAATTATATGGATGGAAAAGAGTGACAACGTTGGAGATTATCTGGTGCATGTTTGTTATGGCAATTGGTACTATTGGGTGTCTTATTGGATCAGCAGACGCGATTTTAGCCTTGGTGAAGGATTTCAGAGAGTCGAAAGTGTAAAGTTTGAGAGAATCGAGTGCTAGGTAAAGTGCATTAGAACATTTACGACGCGAATGGTTTATCTTAATTATAATGTGCAGCTCTAGAGTTTCAGTCATGCTTTTCAAACAAGATGAGTCATATAATGGACTTAGTTTGTATAGACTTTAAGTTAATATAATGGTTTCTGTAAAAGACGTTTTGGACAAGATTATGTTTAAACGATTTTACCATGGGGTAATCTGATAGAGGAATAAATTTTGATTTACTAGTATCACCACTGTTGTCGATACTTTGGGGCAAATGAATTATGAGAATAATATTGAGTATGTTATATATGTGTTATCAACACTTGTCACAAAATAGACGCGTTCCTAATAACGAGGACGGAAAGGGAAATTCTAAATCTATTTCTTCTTTTTTATTTTGATATGTCTGGCCTATAAATGAAGTTACGGATGTTTTATTTATGCAGCGTCAATACAAATTGCTACCATTGGCAAACAATGCTCCGACGTAAATTACGCAATTTCGTATCATTAGAGTAATTTGCCTAATGCATAAAGAGCTTCTGAAGGGAGATATCTATCGAAGTTGTTTGCCTCTCCTGTACGGTGATATTTATGGTGATTTCGATTCTTGAATTTTTTTATCCGTTGAACCATTAAAATTGTGAACGCCGAGACGTGTAGCAAACTCACGGCCTTTTCAAGTATGATGTTGTTGTTTACTGCATTCTCCACCATAGACCAAAGCTCTTTTTAGATTTAAAATTTAGTAGTTTACTCTGCTCTTTTTTGCTGTTGGGGAGGTCGCATCCATGATAACGAAAACTTCTCAGCAAGTTCTTGATTTTGATCCAAGCGCGTATTGAACATTTCGCAGAGTTTCTCGTAAATTGATCAGAGTTTTTATATTCTTGCGTTTATTCTTGATAGAAGCACTATTCATGGTTTTCGAATCAAGAATTGGTAACACTCATTTAATTTAAAGAGGCAAACCGAGGTATTTCACTTGTAGAGGTTCATTTGTTAGATGTTTACAATGGATTATACTATGGAGGTATTCTAATACAAAAATTTGGGGCAAAAAAACTTTATCTTAAAGTGACCATATTTTATCGAGTTTGAATACGTATCTTTATTTTTATAAATGTGGTTTTATTAAATCTCAGGTTTTACAATTAATATGATAGTCGCCTCTTGTCCCGTGATTATCTGACGAGAATTAATTGTGTTTTTTATTGAAAAACTAGTGTACCCCACCCACCGATAGACTACCGTGAATAACTCGAGGACAAATTAATTATCTAGGATTAGTGTCGCTCATCGACATGGTCTGCCATGCACTGGCAGCCATTGTCGGGATGTGTATCTGGCTCCAGCCAGCCGCGCTGGCTATCTGGGCATACTTCTGTCGAAACCATTTGCCGGAATTGATTCCCGGTCCGAAGCGCAACTCCTGACGGCGAACGGGAGTCACAGGCATTACCGTTTTTTACTTTGTCAAGGAAAACGGTAAAGCTGTCATCATTTGTTGTGTGAATTTGTCTTCTTCCGATGGCGCATTGTTTATAGAGCTTCTCTACGATATTGATATAGTAAACAAATATTAGAAATGCTATTTTGCAACAGAGCAATTCTTTGTTGTCAAACTACTTACAGCGCGCCCGTTAATCTGCTGGCGATAAGCATTCTGTAATCTTCTGCTGTTGAATATTCTGTAATCTTCAATTCTTTGTTGTCAAACTACTTACAGCGCGCCCGGTAGTCTGCTGGCGATAAGCTGAAATAAATGAAAAAATAATTGGTCAATTTTATTCACATTTCTACACGAATATTCTGAAACTCACCTTCAGTGCTTCTTCAATTGGCTCGTGTAGGTTTTCTTTGACAGGCAAGTATATAGTACTCAGCCAATTGTCAAACTGTAGTTCGGCGCTGTCTTTTTGTCTGTTTGCAATAAAGAAATTTTGCTCAAACATGCGAATCAACTTTGCAAGTATTGGTTGGCAAAATGTAACTAAAGAGACAGTACGCAATTGCTGGATGAGAACTGGCATTCTGTCAAGACGGTTTCCTTGATGAATATTTGGCTGATTGATGTTATCGGAGAAATTCCAAATCTTATTGGACGATTGATATTGCAGTATGCACAAGCCATAGCGTTTGTTTATCTTTTCTCGAACAGCGATTTTTTACTGTTGATAATTCTTTAGGCAAATTGAAGAAAGGGGATTACTTCGAGAAAACAGAGCGTTTGACATACGATATTAATGCAACTTTTTCCAAGCTACGATATCCTGCTAACAGGCTCGCTAAAGCTAGTTTTAACATGACAGAGTCAGAGGTGAAACAAAGAAGTGGCCAGCAGGAAGGCCATACATGAAAGAATTCTAATGAGAGTATAGGATAATGGTAGTTATTTGAGAGGAGAAGGCCAATGTGGAATGGGGAGCGTTTGACTGGACAAAAGTCTCCGTAATCAAATAGTAAAAAATATGATAAATCTAATTTTCCGAACATCCGTATTGGCATTATTTACTAATACTAAGCAAACAACAAAAAATTTATATTGTTATGGAGCTAATTGACTGTAGTGTTCGAATAAAATACTCATAAATTTAAGAAAGTTGTTATAATGGAGCTATTATCTGGCCAAACTGACAGTATATAAATCATATGAAAATATAAGTGTAACATATATAGTTGTTATGATACATTGTGTAAATTGTCTGAAAACTACAGTACAAATTCTGGTTGTTTGCTTAGTAAATAATGCCAATACAGAAATTCAAAAATTTAGATTTTTTATTGATATAGTAATAGAAGACATTCAATCTTGTTTTTCTTGTTTTTTTTGTTTCCTTGATTTCAGCAACTGATTGGCATATAAATCATTAATGTTTGGGCCTGTTATAAGATTTGCCAGTCTCTCAACATAATATGGGCATGCTGCAACAAAACCAGACAAAGTAAACATTGAAAATTTTAAGGGTCTACCTTCATTTCCCCATTTACTGCTCTTCTATCTTGAAGGTAGTACTCCTACTACTACATTTACTTGGCATCCTCCATTCACACTCACTTTTCAACAAACTCTTGGTCAAGGCTTCATTTACTATTACAGCATGTTCATTTCTAGTCACCAAGAAAAGTGATAAATATGCATTCTGAGAAATAGTGTCTTTTTTAACTGCAAGTTTTTACTAAGGTTTTGCTTTTCCTAATAAAAAAAACTTCACTGAACCTTTGAATGTTGCTTATACAGTGAGACTCCTCTAAATGCATACTGTCGGGACCGCAGAAATTTATGCATTTAGAGGAGTTATGCATTTAGA